CGTTCATATAGGCCTAACCAATATATCCTAAAGTACTCGGATGACACCGTGTTAATATCATTATTAAATAACTCAGCGTGTTCAGAACAGCATCAACAGGGGGTAAACAAATTAGTTGAGTGGTGTGATTATAATGCCCTCGGTATTAACATAAAAAAAACAGAGGAGATTGTATTCGGGCCTGCCTCTGACCCTCATACAACACCTGTTGTTATGCATGATGAGAACATCAGACAGGTAGAAGCATATAAGTACTTAGGAGTAAGGATAGATAACACGCTATCATGGAAAGATCATATAGAACATATCTGTAAAAAATCAATGCAAAGAATCTACTTCCTCCGTCGATTGAGGTCTTTTGGAGCAAGAAAGCAGATTATTTTATTATTTTTCCAGTCTGTAATTATGAGTGTTTTGCAGTACTGTAATTCTGTATGGTATAAGAGCCTATCTGTCAGTTTAAAAACAAAGCTGATGAACTTACTAAAAATGTGTTCCAAAATAGTGGGTCAGCCACTTCAAAAAGTCTATGAATTATCCTATCATAAAAATCTTGTAAGGCTGGCCAATAATATTGTCTCTGAACCGAATCATGTGTTGTATAATGAATTTGGAGGTAGAAGCATATATGTACTTAGGAGTAAGGATAGATAACACACTATCATGGAAAGATCATATGAACATATCTGTAAAAAATCAATGCAAAGAATCTACTTCCTCCGTCGATTGAGGTCTTTTGGAGCAAGAAAGCAGATTATTTTATTATTTTTCCAGTCTGTAATTATGAGTGTTTTGCAGTACTGTAATTCTGTATGGTATAAGAGCCTATAAGTGAAAATGTTCTTTGATAATGTAAATGTTCTTTGCTCTCTGTAAAATGAAAATGTTATAATATAGTAACTTACAATATTGTTATTAAATTCACATTAAATACAAAGTCAGTTGTATTAAAAATATTTTATGGCATGGCACCCATATCTGGTAGGCCTACTTAAGTAAAAAGTCGGGGTTTTATGTGTAGTCAATAGATTACACTATTACTCTACTTTGCCCATCACCCATTATAGATCAAATGACAATCTGGTGCATTTACTTACACATGTTTGAGAATCGAGATATTTCCTGATATAGTTAACACATTTGGAAATATTTCGAATAAAAAGGAAAAAAATAAAAATAAAACAAGCCTATATCAGTTATACAGTGCTATTGTGGCTGCTGACATGACGAGACCCCCCCCACTCGTGCCCCCTCAAAAACATGACGCCCCTGTATATATATATATGCAAGATTAATGTTAAGTAAGAGATTCAGTAGTAATTTCTGCTTCTAAAATATTAAATTGAGATTATATTATAATTTTAAATTAAATGTATGTGTTAGCTTGCTTGAATATTTCAAGATCAATTTACATGTATGAGTACAAAATAATAAAATAATCCTAATTAATCTTTGACTTTAAACTTTGAGGTAACTGATTACTCCAGTTTTTTGACTCTTGCCAACTTATTTGGGTTTATAGTGTTGCTGTGTTTGGCTAGTCAAACAATATTTTTATATCTATATAGTGGGTTACACTTTTCAGGAGAAACATCTGATGAATATCTAAGCATATTAAGCTGGGATAAGACAAAGTTCTATTTTAACATTAGAAAAAACAGGCATTTCGCCTTACGAAGTTTACGATTATGAAGTTAGCAAACTTTATTTTTTAGTCAGCAAAGTTTACATTTTAATGTTCAAGAAACTAAAATTGGCTAAAAACAAGCCAATTAGCATTTCAAAACTAATATTATACCCAGAAAACACATTTTGCTGTATCCATGAATGATTCAGTTCTCTTGGCTTCATTTTAATGACAACGACTTCGCTGTAATATATTCTAAACCATGCAAATTATGCACATGCATAATTAATGGAATGTGTACTTACATTATTATTTGAGCAACAAAAACTTTTTTTCCTTCCCTTTAGAAGGAGTGAGTGAGGCAGAAATAGAAGCGGAATTAGAAGGAGGGAGAAAGACAGACTGTTAAATCCAAAGTGTCTGTCATGTTTTCCATTCTTTCTGGAAATGAAGCACTTCTCGGTCCTCTCTGAGGTCAGCCATAACCACGAGCGGCCTGACATCACAATGACAGATATCTGCTGTTGACGACTGAAATCAACTTTGGCTCTGTCATATAGAGCACAATATGACAAACACAGATATCTGACAAGATTTTTTACTGTGCTCTGGTCTGTGAAGACAGATAACAAATAAATGTAGTTCTCAGAAAAGCATAATTTGTTTGCGGAAGTCGTTTTCTTTGATATAATGCAAGAAAATTAAATGATTTTAAAGTGTGACTAAAATGTACAAACTTTT